GGTCGGCGGTTCTACCTCTTATGGTCTCGGTTTGATCTTTCTGACTTCCGCTCCTCAGTATCTCTCCTCTTCTTGTCGGGCCTCTCTTCCTCGCCCCGCAGTTGTGTTTGCGCTTCTTTTGTATTGATGTATTTCTGCACATGGCCAGGGTTTGCGGAGGGTTCTTGGAGATGGAGAAGTTGAATGGCGATGGGCGAAGGCCGTGTTGAATAGCAGTAACAATCACGAACTGGTTCAGGTTTCTGACTTGTAGTGCCTCTTTGTTGAATCTCGCCAAGTAGTCCCTAAGAATCTCGCTAGGTAGTCCTTGAGAGATTCAACTTTCCTCTGGTGTACCTGCATAAGGCGGGCCAAGGTCTTCCAGTGCTTTTGACTCATTGTGAACTATGCATGGAATTGAGTTTCCAACTGTTCCCATGACGCTATGGAACAGAGAGGCAGAGAGGAATACCAGGTCAGGGTTGGACCCGTGAGGATGGCCACTAGGGCTTTGCACATTAGGCCCTCGGAAGATCCGTGCAACATTAGCTGAGCCTTCAGTGCCTCGATGTGATCGGTGGGATCAGAATTCCCGTCGTACTTGCCATGCTGAGGTGCCCGCCATCCTGTGCGAGGCACCTCATCCACAATCTCTTGAGTGAAAGGTGGTTCCTTGGCGGTTGGTGCAACTGTTTGTGTGAGCTGATCTACAACTGGCACAATGCTTCTCTAGCATTGGCTGCGCTCCAGCTCTTCCAAGCGCTGTCGGAGTTCCCGAATCACGTTATCCCTATGGTTCGGGGCCACAATGTGCGTTGCTCTTTCCTTCTTAGGGCACGCAGTGTGGTCTTTCATGGAGCTAGACTCGGCGACGAAGACCACGCAGGGCGGCATTCTTCTACCGAGCCTTTCTTTGGCGGGGATCCATGTGGTTTGGTGCATCTTGCTGTGAGAGCGGACAGAGGGAGCCGACCTTCTTGCTCTATCTTGCTTTTCTTGGTTGGACCGCGCTACACCCTTGTCTGCCCGGCGTGCTTTGTGGTCCTCGAGGCGAGGATCATCCTTCGTACGCGTCAGTGCAAGACGGGGGACGGCCTTGTTAGGTGGTGGCGCAGATCCTAGTGTCTGCATCATCTCAAAGACCTTATCGACCTTCTCTTGCATTGCTCGGAACTGTACAGGATCAACCGTGGCTGGAGGCTGTGGAATTTCTTGATGCAGAGGGCTATGATGCCGAGATTCCCAAGATGGGGATTGGCCTGTCGATCGTTCAGATTGGTTCTTGGGCATCTTGATCGCTTTCTTGATTGAGCAGTGAGGAAGGAAAGATTTTCAGGAAATGCTTTTTGTGTGTTTCCCACTGACGATGCCAATTTGATGCTGCTCAATCCGAGGTGGTGCACGAACTGAGGAGAGCAACTAGATAGTCCTTGCCAACAGAGCGGTGCCGAGCTACAAGGACGAGGTCGCGCTGTAAGACCTGTGATCAAGAAAGGAGAAGTTAGAGGTCTGAGGAGTTATCCTCGGGTCGACACTCCGACGCTCAAGTCAATAGGAGGTGGTAGATGGTCAGGCCGAGCTTAGGGGTGCTGGTCCAAGCTAAGTAACAGTATGGGTGTTAGAAGTTGGAATCCCTTACCTTGAGCATGGAATACCTTTTTATAGCCGAAGATCCATCTCTAGGTCAGACTGGGCTTCCAAGGTTGTCGAGATGAGGGTACCTACCGAGGCGTTTGGGGCAAACTCCTAATCCTCGGCGGAGATGTCTTCTCCACTCTTCTTTATTCATAGTTATGCTTATCTGCACCCCGAGTGGCTGACGTAGCTGGGGGGCCACAGTAATAGCATAGCCTGGCCGATGCTACAGAATGAGAGTGTTGTAGAGCTGGTCGAGCTATGCCGACGTGGCTAGGCTGACCGGGTGATGATAGGATGGCCACGTGTCTATCTGGACCAGCTCAGCCATGACTCGAACAATTATTATTATTATTATTATTATTATACATGAATTTGCTTGATCAAGTGCTTTTCGAGTAAAACTCGTTCAAATAAGTTCAATTCTAGCACATTATTGTGCAATTCAGGTTGCTTGGGTAAAGGGAGAGACAAGAGGAAGGGAGCGCTATTTTAGCACAGATAAATTGGTTACTCACCCACGAGCCCAGATTTCCTACTCACTTTTCCTACTCATTCTCTATCCGCCGTGAATTGCAGTCACACATCTCTTAATTCATAATAGAGATGTGTGACTCTAATTCATGGTGGGTAAAAAATGGGTAGAAAAAATGAGTAGGAAATCCTAAATGCCCACTTAGAGGGTATCAAGTACCCAGGTCATATACATACATGGGAATTTCACCAACTTACCCCTAATTAAATACTGGCTAACAAACGGGGTCTAAAGGACATATATGATTCCTGATCTTCAAATTCACACGTGTGTGTTCCTGATTGTGTTAAAGGACAAGTGGCACAATTATGTTCTGGTGGGACAGTTGGGACCTGATTTGGACTCATGATTTGAAAGTCTAACCTCCCAGATAACCAGTTACCGGTAAAATTTTGACTCAATGAACATTCCAATTTTTATAAGCAGTCTAAGGGGCTGAGGGGCCCTTTGATATAACAGCTGAAATTGTTTGTCTAAATGAATTATTGCTTTGTTTTTCAATGGACAAAATAACTAAATAATAAAATACTCTAGGTCTTGGTTATGGTAAGCTACCATTAAGCTGATGTGGCAGTTGCTATTTTTGTTTTCAAAAACAAAACAAACCAACCATATTGTTGAAGTGACGGGATCTGTTCCTCACAAATGGGCGCCTCACATGCATATCCACTGTGCATTGAAAACATCTCTCGTGAATATTCATTAATATGTATGGGAGATGTTTTCAATGCATAGTAGGATGTGGGGGTGAGGAGCAGAACACCCCCTAAGAAATGTAATTTGAATTTGGTCATTCCCTAATTGTAAGGATATAAATATAATTCAAATAACCATTTTTCTTTTCATTTAAATCAGTCTCATTTAATCTTATATTTAAATTATTAACTCATTAGCACTTATTGAAATTATGAGGGCACAAAATATAATTTGAATTATACATTTATTCTCATTCAATTCACTCTCATTAAGTTGTATATTTATGGTATTAACTCTCATTCTTTCATTAATCATACACTAATTAACTATGTTAAAGAAAAATAAGTATGGCAAAGAATAATTCATTTTTATTGATGATAAAATAAGGGTCATTTACTAAAACCTACCTTTTATTTTGTGTTTTACTAAGACAACACCTATAGTTTGCATATGTTTTACTTAGGGTTCGTTCGGTTCACAATCAGAATCAAAATTGAAATCCATTGGAATTTGAATCAAAATAGATTATTCCCATGGTCTGTTTGGTTCATACAAGAATCGGAATGAAAAATTGGAATCATTTGGAATGGGATTTCATTCCCAAGAGAAGGAGAGGGAATAGACATTCCCTCAAATTTGAGAATGTTATTCCACCAAGAATAGAAATGGGATTCTGGTTCCGCCCATCCAAACAATTGGAATTAGAATGGTCCATTATATTTCCGATTCTAGACCCCTACTCCTATTGACCAAAGGGCCCTTAATTGACCCTCCATCAAGAACTATTAGTATGCTTGCAATGGTTTTACATGACCCCTTAAGGCGTGCTAAAAATATGAAGAGGCATGGGTGTAAGGTTTTTATTCCGAAAATAATTCTCATAATTCTCTTATCAACCTTTTAGGATAAAAAACGCCTCCCCACATTATAACTTTGTTTGGAAAAGGGGTGGAGTACATGTGACCTAAAAACTTTTAGGGGTACTTTTGGAATAAAAATTCTTGGGCCCATGTCCTTTAACATTTTCCACTCGCTTTAAGAAGTCAAGCGATCGTTCCCAAATAGAAATACAAAAAGTAGGATGGGGATTGATAGTGGGACCCAATCGGAGATGGGGACGGGGATGAGTGTGAATTCCCCTCCTCAATCCAGGTTATATATATATATATATATATATATATATATATATATATTATTTATATCAAAATATACTTAAAAGTTTTTTATATTTAAAAATTTATTTATTTGAAGTAAATCTATTTTCTAGAAATAATTTTAATTTAAAATTTTGGGGATGTAGGCCCCCAATGGGGAACCTGCCTCCATCAAGGACTGGGGATAGATGGTCATTTTTATCTCGAGCAAGGATTAGGGTCAAGGCCAAGGAGTATGACCCCGGCCCGAATCCACTCAATTGCCATTCCTAACTATAAGGGATGTTTTAGTAAAACACAAACTAGAGGTTAAGTTTTAGTAAAAGCATCAAAACTATAAGGAATATTTAAGTAAATGACCCTAAAAAGAAATTTTAACTATAGAAGATGGCCAATCAATAATTCAACCTTTTTGGGTCAAAATGTGTCCCTAATATTATATACATAGTAAAATAAAAATTAAAAAATATGAAAATGACCAAAAGTATACAAATACAAAAAAAAAATATAGAAAATATTTGAATAATCCCTAATATTATATATTCATTATATTAAGGCTCAGTTTAGAAAGAATACAAATGTAAATATGTAGAGTGCAAAACCTTATATTTTATATTATTTTATATGTATTTATACAGTACATATTTGCATTTGTACTCTTTTCAAACTGAACCTAAATAAAAATAACTTTTATAAACAAAAATATATAAATTTTATAAAAACATATTATTTATTATTATCATCATCATCAAAAATTACCACTGATTAAAGACATTGCAATCAAACGACCCCTCTTAGCTCTTACAATAATATCGCTCTCTACATTGCGCAAGTGAACCCCTGTGTACGCTGTCACCATCCTTAGTGACCACCAACTATGTTCAGCTGGATTTGTTACCCACAAAGGCACAAAAGTATTCTAAGGAGTAAGGATACTACGGTCGCCCATTGGTAGTGTATTGTGGGTAATTAGGATGTGAAAAAAATAATAATAAAAGTCAATACCAAACATGACATTAATCGCTCATTTGTGATTGTAAATTGTGATAAAGAAAGGAGGAATCAAAACTCGAGTTCGGACTTTGGAACGAATTGAAGCAATAACCAATTTCCAACGTTTTCTACTGGGCATTTATTGGTAGGCACAGGCTATGGTTGTTTCTGGGAAACACCCACACCCCTCTCTTGACTCTTGCCATCCAAATCCAATGAACCAACCCAGCATCGTCGTCATTTCTTTGATTCATTGATGGTGTTCCTCTGCCAACTCGATCGCTTACAGAAAACCCCTGAACATGAAGGTCATCCTGAAATCCAAATGCATAGAGAATCTAATGAAAACCTTCAAATTATTCCACTCAGGTAGAGGTAACTCAAAATTCAGAAACCCCCCAAAACAAAATACTACTTAATTAGAGCAAAATTCATATCTGTTTGTTTGATGGTTCAGGTTCAGATGGTCAGAAGGAAGAGAACTTGGAGCAAATCGTAGTGCAGGAGCAAAAGCTCTTCTCTTTCGAGACCCTTGTCGCTGCAACCAGAGACTTTCACGTTGATAACAAGCTCGGCGAAGGCGGATTCGGTCCCGTCTACAAGGTAATTAAATTAATGAAAGCAGAAACTGTTGACGAAAGCGAAACTGTGAGTTTGTTAAGTGGTGGTTTTGATTTGTTTACAATTGAAGGATTAAAAGGAGGAAATCAATTAATTAATAGGGGAAGTTGGGGGATGGGAGGGAGATCGCAGTGAAGAAGCTGTCGCAGAGCTCCAGGCAAGGGACGAGGGAATTCATGAACGAGGCGAAGCTTCTGGCCCGAGTGCAGCACAGGAACGTTGTGAACCTCCTGGGATACTGCACCCACGGCGCAGAGAATATCCTCGTCTACGAGTACCTTCCCCGTGAGAGCCTCGACAAATTCATTTTCGGTAAGCAACCAAACACTCCCTTCACCCCCTGAAAATTAAAATGACCAAAATGCCATCCAATTCCAATCTACCGCATAATTTACTTGGTAGAAGGATGGTACACGTAACACTTATTTGGGCGGTACGGATCTCCTGCTACCCACATCCTTCTGCCCTTCCTATTAAATCGATGACATAGTGACAGATGCCCCAATTTCGTTATGTACAGCAATTTCTATTTGAAAGTTGAAACATCTCCTCCCATCTATTCTATCCTTGCCATGGTTCATACTAGAAATCCCTATCTTATTTCAACCATTCGTCTCTCTCTCTCTCTCTCTCTTATCCTTTCAAACATAAAGTTTCAACGATACTTTCAGTATTTTTTTTTCCTTTAAAAATTAATAATACTTGATTAATTGAACAGATTACAAATACAAAGTTCCAGGCTTCCAGCCATGTTGGTGGGGCATACCAGCTTTCAATTAATAAATCATATAATTCATTGCTCTACCAGACAGATTTAATTCTTTTAAATTCTAGATTTGCTCGCAAATGAAGGGAAACTCTAATATAGAAGATTCATTAAATATGGAGGAGTTGATTTGCTAAATGGGATATAAAAATCTGATTTAGGAGCTTCTGTTAATAAAACTATTTTTTTTTTTTTGTTTCATTATTCAATCATAAATGTGAAAGATTAATAGTTTTGATATTCAATTAGTGGCCAAAATAAATATAGAACTTTAAGAGTCCAGATACAAAAGAGACTCATTAGTGTAATGGTTAAAGCATGTTGGGGACGGAAGTATAAGTCAATTGTAGATTACTCAATGCGATTTCACAATGAATTCAGACTGAGCCCCTAATAAGTGTTTCGGGATTTAATTCTCATTCATTTGGAAGCATTGCCTCTCCTATTTTTGCTTTGTAATGAATGCAAATAGAGCCCCTACCTCATCAAGACAACAAGAACTGGTTCTTATTGAAACCCAGACCGATTGTATAAGAGAAAAATATAAAGGTCTTCTTGTTTTGTTATAACTTTTGTAATATTTTTATGTTTTAAAAAATAAATTTTATAGATTGAACATAACATAATTTTGGTTAAAAACTATTGTTCTATCAACGTATAAAAACAGTTTAGTATTTTTATTATTTTTTGTTAAGGTTATATATTATTAAAAATGAAGTTCTGTTATTATCATAGGCAATTTTAGGATATGTTTTTTTTTTTCAGTTTTTACTTTTTAGTGTTAGTGTAGACACTCATCATGACTGTTGATGGGGCATTTCATCTCAACAGTGTCTTGAAATTTACGGTCAAACCGGATGGTCGGATCGGTTAATTTTTCACTCAGACAAAATTGTGGGTCCCTTGTACGGTCAAATTCTTTACGTACAAAGAATAGTAGACTTGGTCAACAGCCTGATAAGCTGACTACTTAAATTGTTATATTATTTGTTGATAGGTTAAATACTTAAATATGAATTTTTGTATTTTTAGTTATTTCTAATATCAACAAAAATAATTCATATTTATCATGCTTATTTTATTTAATATGATATATATTGTATGAAAGATATATCCATTGTTATACAATTTTTTTTGCATTTTTTTAATTTTCTTATAAAACATTATAAATTGATCCGTCTGACTTAGACAATTAAACAATTATCCTATCACTTATATAAAAAACGGTTTCTTTTTTTAGTTGGTTTTAAAATAAACCACGCGTGATACTAACTCACAAATAAATTATCGCATAGTGGTCCTTGGTGAAATAAAATATAAATTTTATTTAGGGTAAATTACAAAGACCCCTCCGTGCTATTGGGGCTGTGACAAAAAACCCCCTATACTTTATTTTGCAACAAATACCTTTCTTGTAGTATGATCGTGAGACAAAAACCCCTTTCATTAGCCTTCCATCCAAAAAGACAGTTACAATATTTTTTAATCACTATATTACCACTATTCATCTTCTCCCACCTTATACACAAACAGTAGTGGCACTAATCTCATCTACCTCGGATTTTTTCAAATTTCTCTCTCCCAGATTTTATCAAATCCAAAGTGCACTATTCATGATACACTAACAGATCTGGAGGATAAAAATCCGGTACAAATTAGCGGCCTTGGCGTGGGACAACACCATATTGTGAAGTACAGTCACAAGTAAATCTCGAACAATGGCCTGGTGGATACACTCCCCTGAGATACGCATAAACAGCATACGCGTTGGGCTCATTCAAGCTACTCCACAACTTCACCCGACCCCCGAAACTTCTAAAACAGATTTCCGCAAAATACATAAAATCTTCCCTGCAACAATAAGCACCAACAAAATCAAAATCCCATTTTTTTATTTCCAGTCAAGCTCTCTTCACGATTTCATCACAAGATTTTTGACAGTGAGACACAAACACAGATTTCCCCAGAATTTTGTGTTTTATAATTCATAAAATCTAAACGAGATTCAGATAATTAGAGAAACAAATGTTCATGGGCTTACTGTATTAGAGGGTTCAGCCATCCCCCATATCTGTCCTCCAGTTCTTGTGGCCGGTTGTGATGATACAAGGTCACAAACGGTTCGATCCCTGCCGATACAAGCCTAAATTTGTTAAAGACGATAAGAGGAACACAGGAGTCTAGGAGATTGTCTATCATACTGTTAGAATTCTAGTCTTGAGGTCTATCGGAGCAGATTTGGTTAGAATTAAATTCTAAGCCTCTGACTCATCTCTCAGTGGGAGATTGTCTATGATACTGTTATAGAACGCGATCCCTGTAGGATTAACGTCTCCACACCTCCCTCCTACAGCATACTAGCAGCTTAGTTGAATGGGATTTATCATTTATGAAGAAGGTGCAGCTTGTCTATGATACTGTTATAGAACACGGATCCCCGTAGGATTCACGCTAGTGCACTCTGGATTTTTATCCTCCAGATCTGTTAGTATATCATGAACATAGCACTCTGGATTTGAAAAAATCTGGGAGAGAGAGAGGGAGAGAGAAATTTGAAAAAATCTGAGGTAGATGAGATTAGAGCTACTACCGTTAGTGTATGAGGTCGGGGAAGACGATCAGTGTTTTTTCATCCGAGGGTAATATGGGAATTAAAAATATTGTAACGGGTTTTTTGAACAAAAGACTTACAGAATACAGAAGGGGGTCTTTGTCTCTCGGTCATAGTATAAATAAGAGGGAATTTATTGCAAAACAAAGTACAGGGGGTCTTTGTCACAGACCCTATAGTACAGGGGTCTTTATCATTTACCCTTTTATTTAATAGAAAAAGGTTAAAAAACTTAACAGAAATGGGACCCAAATATATATAAATTCCGCTATGTTAAACGGCATTGACCGGTGTTTCTATTTTGATTTTTAGTTTCAATTCTAGTATCATATGTTTTTCCGACATCATAGTCAATCCCCTTGAACAAATATTGAAATATAGATCTTTTGTTTTTTTTTCCTTCTGGATTGGGCCTATGGCCATCCCGACGGGGACCCAATTTCCCCAACCCAATGGTGTTATATTGGAATGGGATTGTTTTGATCGTGTGAAACCAAAACAGGGATTAATAATAGGAAGGGAAAATCTATGGTACGAAAAAGATATGGTATGAAAGAGTTTTGACCAATCAAAACTTACTCATGAATTTTGATCAATCAAAGGGTACGTAGTTGGAGTGTTGTGCATCGCACGCTAAAATTAAAAGATATTAATTGATGAACGGATGGATGTGACTGATAAACGGTGATATTTGACGAATGGGTGGTAATGGTATTGCAGATTCAGAGAGGAAAAAGGTGCTGGATTGGGAGAGGAGGTTCCGTATAATCTCGGGGGTGGCCCGCGGCCTGCTTTACCTACACGAAGACTCCCATAGTCCCGTCATCCACCGTGACATCAAGGCCAGCAATATCCTACTGGATCTGAAGTGGGCCCCCAAGATCGCTGACTTCGGGATGGCCCGTCTTTTTCCTGAAGATCAGACGCACGTAAACACGCGCGTCGCGGGCACCAAGTACGTAAAGTTAGCTCAGCATCAGCTGCCTTTGTTTTGACTGGTTTTGTGTTGGTCATCAAGTTGGACGGTGTGGATGATGATTTGGATAAATTTGAATGCAGTGGATACATGGCTCCTGAGTATGTGATACATGGAAGGCTATCGGTGAAGGCGGACGTATTCAGCTTCGGAGTTTTGGTGCTTGAATTGATCAGCGGTCAAAGGAACTACACCTTCTCCCTCGATCTCGATTCGCAGAATCTACTGGATTGGGTGAGTCTTCATTTCTTATTGAAGTAGTTGTTTCTGTTTTCGGTATTATAGTTGAACCCTTTCCATGGGGCCAAGGATATCAGTGGATCGGGTTAGATGGTAAATCCACATTACCAGACCCAATCACTTAGGGTCGGGTTAGCCTTAACGGTTTTATGTTGAGGTGAAGTTGCACTGAACCTTCCGTCCCCCTCCTGTTTTTAGGAAAAACTTGCCCCTTTCGCATTGCTGCATTGCATTGATCCCTTTCTTGGTTGGGTCAGGGTCGGGTTACGAGTCGGGGATTTGGGGAGCCCATCCCCGACTCGTAACCCCTAAAGTGCAGCCTCTTTGAAAAATGGGTTTTGGATTCAGGATTCTGAATAAGTTGCCTCCAAAAATTTTTAGATAGGGCGAAAAACGGGTCCTACTAGTCAACTTCCTTGAATGTGAACAATACTACAGACTTGAATATTGCTTTCTTTTTCTTATTCGTTGAAATTAACCTTCACTTGCTCAAACAAACTAGTGATGGTAAAAAACATTAGACCATCATCAAAGTTTCAAAGTATGATACTTGATGTAAGATCCAATTTGATTGTTTCATGGTCTGAAAGATGGATCACATTCAATAGTAGGGGGTGCAAGTTGGGTTTCAAGCCCAAATCTGATTGTCCAACTTGAACCTAATTTATACTAAAATTTAATACATTTGGGTTGGGTTTGGACCCAGACCAGGTTCAAGTTGCCCAAAGGTTAGGTTTAGGCCTGACCCAAAAATTACGAGAGTTCAAATTTTTGGGCTTATTAGTCCCAACTCGAGACTGAAAATTAAAGCCCAGCATAGAATTGCAGGCTGGGTCGGTTCAAGCTGCAACCCATTCAATAGCGAAGGGGAAACCTGTTTTGCCTCTGTTCTGAGTCATATTCATTGTTAAATTGTGGACATCTAATTTATTTTTTATTACTTCTAGGTTCTACCTAAATTATTGTCTATCCCCGGCTCTTCTGAACCCTTCAATTTATAAAAAAAATCGTATTCAACAGTGAATAATGAAAGTGTTTTTTCTTTTCTTTTTATTGTTATAGGCATACAAGCTTTACAAGAAAAAAAGGAGGTTGGAGATGATGGATTCGGCATTAGCATCCTCATCATCATCATCATCCATAGAACAAATTTGCATGTGCATACAAATAGGGTTATTGTGCACTCAAGCCGATCCAGCCAAACGGCCTACCATGCGTCGTGTGGTGGTGATGCTGTCGAAGAATCCCGGTACCACCCTAGAAGAGCCTACCAAACCGGGTTGCCCCGGTTCTATATATAGAAGAACTCTAAAGCCCGATGGGTCTTCTACTTTTACCGTCGCTTCTGGTTCTGGTTTCACCACCGAATCATCCTTTCCCTCCACCTTAAATTATTCTAATAGTGCTTCCACATCTACTCTTAGCACCTCTATTTCACATTCTCATGGCAAAGGCAAACGTCCCATTCAAGGTTAACTAGGCTGCCTTTTCGCACTTTCGCTTGTGGATATATTGTTTTGCTTTTTTCTTCCTTTTTCAAGTTTTGCTTAGAGGGCATTTTATAACAGCTGAAGGGGTTATACTGAATGATTTATTGCTCTTTCATTTGGGCTGCATTTGGCATTCCTTATTTTAAGGAACTGTTAAAATGTCTCTATGGACACTGAGTCTTCAACACCAAAAATGATACAAGTCCTTAAAGTTAGATTGATATTTTTGAATTTTTTATTGTTTGACTATTTTGTTAGGATCAGGACAAAGTAATTATTCATTCAGTCCAGCCACTTCAATTGTCATCAAACAGCCCCCTCATTCTTTCTGTAAAATATATAGACGAGGATGTATTTGAATTTTCTTCTTTGTTTGTCATGTAAATTTAATTCAACACCTAATTAAATCAAAGTTGATATGTGGTTTTTTCTTTATTTTTGTTGAAGGGCTACACTCAGGTGCAGGCGGGATTTGATCCCAAGTCTTTGCTACGGCCGTAAGGCTTAGTTTGGAAGGAGTACCAATGCAAATATGCTGAGTGCAAGACTTTATATTTTATATGTATTTGCACTATACATATTTGCATTTGTACTATTTCCAAACTGAGCCTAAGGAGACCTTAGCAACCCGCTGGTTGGAACCTTGCAAGTTGATAGGAGTTAGGGCAGAATAGAACTTATTGGTGAACGCTTTCCAAACCAAATTTGGCTGTGTTGCAAAACTATGAATACGAGATTGAGACTTGCAAAGGAAGGGATTGTTGAATCGTGCCACTTGGTCACTCTCCTTAAAACCTCATTCACCCCTTATGATGCAACCGGGTGATTGCAAATTGGTTACCAAGATAAAAATAGCTCATAGGTCACTAGTAGACATGAATTCGCTTACCAGACCTCCGCGAACCACAAAGAGAATGCACAAGAAAGAAGATAGGTAGAGAACTACGAATTTGTTGGTATGACACTGCGTCAACCACCACTCTATTTATAGAGTATTCTCAGTCAATTGAAAGGACACAAATGTGTCATTTGAGAAAGTGTCTCTCCATAATAGTGCAACAAGGCACTTGTTCAAAGAGACACATAGCCAAAACAAACAAGCAGAAGAAGTTTGAAATTCAAAAGTCGAAACAGTTTAAATCGGTTAAAGATAAAAAACGTTTTTGTGTAGCACGTGCATACCCTTACCCTCACCCATGCCCCATCCCGACTCGGCCCAACTCGGCTTGGCATACGTCTGTGAAAAGCACCCCCTAACCCCCCTCATATAGAGATATATATTGTTATCCTCCTATAGGTACCTACCCATAGGGAGAGCAATCCTAGTAATATACTCCAAGCCAACTCTTTTCCCAAGCAATGTGGGACAAGAATCTCCTACATGCAAGAGGAGGGAAAGAGAGAAAAGACAAAACTAAAACAAAAGGAGGGAGAGAGAGAGAGAGAGAAAGATGATTCTTGAAATTTTGAATCTCCCTCCAATAATCCCCCACAAATTCAAAATTATAAGAAGATCGGACACCTAAGCATCGTGGTGAGAGAAGTATTCATGGTGATGTCTTTTGGACTTCAATCAACACTTGAGTATGATAAATTATGTTATACAGTACGGGTAGAGTCAAACTCTTTCAACATTTCCCCTTTGTTGTAACTAGCTAATCTTCCAACCAACTCAAGTCACATTTCCTTAGTGGTTCTATTGTTTTAGAACATTTGAGCCTTGTTCCCCTTTTGGAATTATGAGTGTTTTAAAGAGTTAGCCCTTAGAGTTATAATAGAAGTAGCCACATTTCACACTCACTTAAGTCGATTATTTAGTATGCACTACAGACACTCTTCTTAACCGATTAAGAGTCTTACACTCACCCTCCTCATTTTGTAGTGTGCACAATCTTACTTTGGCATCTATAATGGGGCACAAATTGATAGTGCTTTCTTAAGTCATCTAGCGATTCATTTTTACCCATTCAACCTAATTCCAAGGATCTCCTTTCACATACGTTGGGTTTCATCACTAACGACTTATGTAACGAGCCTTAACCATGTTCCTACCGATGACTCATAAATCACTTTAGAAGTCTGTGGTTTGGTTAACGAATCTGTAAAGTTCTTTTAAGACCTTACAAAATCTAACACAACTATACCTTCGTTGAGGTATTATTTTACCAAGTTGTGCCTTAGGCTGATGTGCCTTTTTTTACCGTTATACGCTTTATTCTTGGCTCTATCTATTACTGCTAGACTATCACAATGTAGAGATATAGATGGAACCAGTGGTGGCCAAAGTGGTATATTTGCCAGTAAGTTTCTTAGCCATTTTGTCTTATACTTTATCAATTATAATGCAATGAATTCGACCTTCATTGTTGAACTTGTATTATAGGACAGCTTTATTGATTTCCAAGAAACTGCACCACCTCCTAGGATAAAGACATACCTACTAGTGGAAGTATTGTCCTTTGAATATGAAATCTAATTTGCATCAGTAAAGCCTTCTAAAATAGGAGGAAAACCTAAATAATGCAAACCAAAGTTTATAGTTCCCTTTATATATTTTAATAATCTTATTACAGCTTCTCAATGTTTATTCTTAGGATTATGAATATGTTGACTTAGTTTTCCAACTGCTATTGTTATATCTAATCTTGTGCAATTCATTATGGCATAGATCCAATTATACTTGCATATTCCTTTTGTGAAACATGTTTTCCTACATGTTTTTTTAAGTAGATACTACAGTCAAGTGGTGTCTTAACTAGTTTACAATCATAGTGTCCAAACTTCTTAAGTATAGTTTCCACATAGTGTGATTAAGAGAGAATAAAGTTTCCTTGTTGTTTATGAACTTTAATCCCTAGCATTACATCTGCCTCACCCATGTCTTTAATGTCGAATTTGGACATTAAAAATTGTTTTATTTCTTTTACTATTTCTACACTTGTACCCATTATTAGCATATCATCAACATATAAGTAGATCATGACTTCTTTATCATTTACAAATTTGTTATAAATGCATTTGTCATAATCATTTTTATTATATTCATTCATCATTAACGCATTGTCAAACTTTTTGTGCCATTGTTTGGGAGCTTATTTTAAGCCATACAAAGACTAAATCAACTTACATACTTTGTTCTTTTGTCTTGCTAATATGAAGCCTTTAGATTGCTTAATATATATTTTTTCATCTAATTCCTCATTTAAGAAAGTTATTTTTACATTCATTTGATACACTACCAATTTGTAAATTGATGCTATGACAAACAAGACTCTAATGGTAGTTAACTTTGCAACAAGGGAATATGTGTCAAAGAAATCTACATCTTTCTTTTGTCTGAAGCCTTTAGCAACTAGTTTGACTTTGCATTTATCTATGGTACCATCTGATTTTAGTTTCTCAAATATCATCTTATAATCTGGTGCCTTAGTTCCATGTGGGAGATCTAAAAGTTCCCATGTGTGATTAATGACTAAAGAGTCTATTTCACTTTTTATGTCTTTTTTCTAGAATAATGTATGAAGGGAAGTTATGTCGTCCTGATAAGTTACTAGGTCTTTGTCTATCAGAAATGTGAACACTCCATCACCCAAGTTTGTATCTTTTTTTTTTGTCTTTTTCCTCTCCTTAAATCTTATTCTTGATTCGTAAAATCGATGTTTCCTTGACTAAGTAAAATACTGACTCCTTGAGCATTTAACTCTTGTTCTTGGTTTCTGTTATAAATGTGGGGAGGTTCCCTATTTATTGTTTCTTTTCTCCATGGAAAGATATGCTTAAAGAATTCTGCATCTCAGGATTCAATTATTGTATTGTATTATACAACATTATCAATAGTTTTAAGTGCAAGGAATTGATAAGCTACATCGTTTTGTGCATATCTAATGAATACACAATCATAGGTTTTTGGTCCCAATTTTTTTCTTTCAGGTTCATGTATTCTAGTCTTTGCTAAGCCACCCCAAACTTTTAAATTGTTTAAACTAGGTTTCTTGTTATGCCAAAGTTCAAATGGTATTTGTCCTTTCTTTTTTGGAGGTATTCTATTATATAGGTCACAAGCCGTTAGGATTGCTTTCCCCCACAAGTTCGGAGGTGCACCTAAACTAATTAACATAGCATTCATTTTTTTTTTAATGTTCTATTGAGTCTTTCTGCAAATCAATTAGATTCATGTTGGTAAGGGTTGTGGTTTCATTTATAATTTCATTTTCTTCAAAGAATTTCTTGATGATTTCTTTATCATACTTAGTCCCTCTATTTGTTTCAAGTCTTTTTTATTTTATTTTCCAACTAAATTTTTACTCCAGTCTTGTTTGTTATAAAAGCTTGTTCAATCTCATCTTTTGATCTAAATAAAACAACATTTGCATATCTAGAGAAGTCATCTATGAAGGTTATATAATATCATTTTCCTCTTCTAGCTTCATGAAACTTAAGATCCCCTAAATTACTGTGTACAAATTGTAGTAATTCGGATTCTCTTTCTACACTTTTATGAGGTTTTTTAGTAATTTTTGCTTCTACACATACTTGGCATTTTTTACTTATAAAATTTATAGGAACATTCAACACTCTTAATTTGCATAATCATTTTAAATAAGAAGCACTACGATACCCTAATCTAACATGCTAAATATCAAATGATTTAACAATACAAGTAGAAGAAGAAGCATTCTTATTCATAATAATATTAGAAATATTCAACACAAATAATCCACCAACATTATATCATTTTCCAATAAATAAATTATTTGTAGTTAACATGGATTTGTTTGCTTCAAATGTGAGCTTCAGTCCTACTTTGTTGATGAGTGCATCTGATACCAAATTTTTCCTGATTTTTGGCACATGCAACACATCATTTAGCATCAGGATCTTTCCCGAAGTCAGTTTTAGGAGTACTTTTCCTTTGCTAATGACCTTTAAAATTTGTAAGTTTCCCATGAAGACTTGCTCTCCTTCGGTTTAAGTTGTGTACTCATAGACGGAAGCACGAGTTCTACATATGTGCTTGGTAGCACCCGTATTCAATACCCACTCATTCGATTTATCAACCAAGATTTCTTCGGTAACCATTGTTGCAATGACATATTTAGTTAAGTTGACCTTTGGTTTCCCAAAGTCTTTCTTGTTTTGGTAATGGCAATCCTTCTTGTAGTGGCTAGGTTTGCCACACACAACATTTTCCTTTGTTTTGATGCTTTTTGAATTCTTGGTAATTTTTCACA